TATTTGTCTATTTGTTTTCCTGAGAAACTGTTTTGTAGACAATAATATGTAAAATGATAACCATTGATAATTTCCTACCATTTTGTCTGTAATTTGCTAAGTGCCCCCTATTATTATGTTATCCTTCTTTTATTCTTTAAAATAAAAAAAAAAATTTCGTTGTGGCTGTAAGACAAGTGATATTCGTTTTCTATTATAGTAAAGTTGACCTTTAAAATACATTTTAGTTGATTTTAAAAATATTAAATAAAAAAATGTGAATACAGTGTGAAAAGACTGAAGCTTAGAGGACATCACTTCCAGAAGACAACGTCTCTGACAGCGTGGGACATAGCTGATGATGTGTGGAAAAGAAGCAACAGAATGACTCCAATTTGTGAACAGGAAGCAGACACAGCTTCTTTGTTTTGCTTTAAATTACTTTTAGAAGTTTTCTTTGGTTTACAATTCTGGTCCAAGATCAAAGGGCTGCGTCTGGTGATGGACTTCTCATTGGTGGTATCTGGTAGTGGCACAGGGCATCATATGGGGAGAGACAAAGGGCGTCAGAGACACCTTAGCAATAATATGTGTCGACCCATTAATGTAACCTGAGACCAGCAAACCGTAGGCTTCTCAACGGATACCTGCAAAGACAGTGGAGTCAAGGACCAGGGGCGTTCCTGAAGTCCCTCCTTACCCTCTTACACCCTGGAATTTAGCTACTGCACAGGAGAAAGGTGGGAACCCCAAGTTGCGGTCGGACTTCTACCACCTCGACAGACTAAAGGCATGATACTTATTTTTCTACCTGTGGTGGTGAACTGCTATTCATACCTAGTACATAAATAAAAATAAACAAATATATCACAATTATTCAAATATGACTGCATTTTCACGTATTACATCTAATCAACAAGAATTTTGTCACAGGCATCAACTAGGAAAAGTGCAAATGCTTAATGTACAAGAAGGCTCATGGATGGATTTATGCCCCAGGAAATTATTACATCTTTTGGCCCTTATTGGAAGTCTCCTACTTTTGTGTCTACCTCATCACTGAGGTCAATAAAACCAGATAAATAGGAAGGTAGGAGATAGGAAGAAACAACCTCATACTTGACTTAGCAAGCTTGAATACTGGAGTAAGTTAGTTTTGTGACTTTGGAAAATTTATTTCACCATCTTTAACTCTTGGTTGTCTTTTAAAATTTATAATTTATGGATTTTTTTTTTTGAAAGGGATCTTGTTTAGTTTTCCAGGCTGATCCTGGGCTCAAGCAGTTCTCTTTGTCCCCAGGCTCCTGAGAAGCTAGGACTACAAGACTATGCCACCAGGCCCACCAAAATACAGATTTTTGACAATAGCACCTATCTCATATGATCATTGTAAAGATTAAAGGAGGAAATACATAAAAAATTCCTAGTATAATATCTGAGGATTAGTTAAGAATCATTAAATTATTATTATTTGGAAATATTTGTTGAATATCTATAATGTTTTAGTAAGGTCGGTATAAACAGTGGTTGAAAACTCCTGGGTTGTCCCCTGGATATGGGAAATAAGCCATTTTGACAGACTGATGTCCTTGTTCACTGGATAATGAATCTCTGGACTAACTGCCAGATGAGTAACAAAGACTTGCCAGGGCAGCATTTCTGCTCTCCTTACTTAGCCCTGTTCAGGACGTTCCAAGGCCTTGGCTCATAGCATATGTAAGTCACCATAACTCCAGAAGGGAGATGTTTCTGTAAAGGACTTTGGTGTATTCACCCTTCAAGTCTCTAGAATGCCTACAAAATACACAGAGCAAAACTGAATCACCACCCTAGTTCTGATGGGGAAGTGGCAATATGTTTGAGCTTTTGAACATCTTCACCAGCTAAGCGCAGAAAACCTGAACTGCCTCTTCACACCTAGTTTCAGCAACCATACGACCATATTTCTGGTTTATCTCTGCATGTTTGATATTATATACTTTCTGCTTGTGCTAACTAGTGTAGAATAAATCCTTAATAAATTAGGGAAGCTAAATTTCTGGGGTTTTTTGTTTGTGTTTTTGTTTTTGTTTTGTTTTGCTTTTTGGTACCAGGAATTCAATTTAGGACCTTGCACTTACCAGGCAGGCACTGTGCCACTGAGCTATATGCCTGACCCTTTTAAAAATATTTCTTTTATTTTTTATTTTTTTCTTTGGAGCTAAATTTTGCTTCTGTTTCCCACTTTACTATTCAAGAAAGAGTAGCTGCTGTGACATATTTTCACAAAAGTTAGAGGTAGTTTAGTGCATCCAAGTTCAGATTATGGAATTTAGGTTTAAAAGCAAAAGCTGAACTAGGCTTCTAGCTTAATTTGTTAAAGATGTTTTTAGTTTTTCGCAGAAAGGTGCTATAATTACATTACATGTTAAATCTAATAACTGAAAAGTAGATATTCAGATATTATAACTTGTTTTTATTTTGTGCTTATGAAACAACTCTTCACATGAGAATTCCTTCAAATACCAAATTCCCTAATATACTTAATTATGATTCTATTTTAATTGTTCATTATTAGGAAAAATTATGTTAAGTAAGATATACCTATGTTATGATTTTCTTACTTTTTTTATATATTTTGTACTAATTGTTCTCCTTTCAGAGTTCAGATAGAAGGAAATTAGAAATACATAGAAGCTCTGAGTTTCAACCAAAGCTATCCTCAAAACAATCTATCAGTCCTTAATTTTCCTTGTACTTATTCACCACAGAACAATGGCAAATATTAGTCAAGGAAAAACATAAAAAAATCCAACTCAAATGGTTCTTTTCATTTAGCAGTTCCTATCAACTTTTAGGGACTGTGCTGGTTTCTCGGGGCACCCTGGGGAGGAATGGCAGTGAGTATGAGGAAATGATAGACAAGAAACAAGAGCTGGGTCAGGTGGAGGCGACCTCTTACCTAATGGGTAGGAGGACCTGCACAACAACAGTAGGGGTGTTTATTTATATTCTTGCAAAGTTAGTATCGTGAGATACAGGGTTGCCTAGTGACTAGTGACTAAATTGTCTAGGCAGGATGTTTAACTGCTTGAGGCACTCTGGCTCTGTCCTGCCCTCACACACATGACCAATTCCCAGCTTCAGCCACTCCTAACATCAAGTGCCTCACAGTTTAACAAACTATACTTGTTTGAATGTTTATACTTCTAAAGAACATGAAATAACTACACGTAAATAACAAATTTATATTCAAATTGTTATCAATTTAAAAAATCATCACTGAGAGTCTTTGATAAATGATTTCTTTCTGGGCCCTTGTGGCCTCATTGGGAAAAGAGTGGTTCTGATAATCACTAGTATCACTTGGAACTCTAAAATTTTATGATTCAAAATTCTGTAAGAACAATGTAACTACAAAGTGAGATTGTCATCGATTCATAGTGTTAGTGTTTCCTTAGGGAATTTGTATATACAACATCTACAGCCTAGGCAATACATAAGAAGCAGAGATAGTGGAAAATGCCAAAGTATTATAATTCTAAGGATCACACCCAACAAAGTGACTATTATCACAAAATCTTCATTCTGTGTGTGAAACAGAGACTGCAAAACATAGCTTCAGCCGTACCATAGAGGACAACACCATTGATGTCTAAGTCAATGGATGCTTGAGCAAATGTCTCAGTGGAGAAAAACTTCTGCTGTCTTCATCTTCAACACCGGACCAAGCTCTAAACATATTTTAAAATTGGAACAGGGGCTGGGGATTTAGCTCAGTGGCAAAGCGCCTGCCTGGCAAGTGCAAGGTCGTGAGTTCGGTTCCTGGTACCGGAGAAAAACCAAAAAAAAAAAAAAAAAAAAAAAAAAAAAAGATTGGAACATAGGATAAGTAGATAGAGGACAGATATCTAGTTAATTTATAAAGTGTTGTAAGTCCAGGGAAAGACTTCCACAAGTTTCAAATACTGATGCAACTTTTAAACTTAAAAAAAAATAGCTAAAGTAATAGCAAAACATATCATGTCAGTCAATTTATGTAACTACAAAGTATAATTCTAAACAGTGTGTGTCTCACCTTAGAGGATTGCTTAATATAAAGTCCTAGACTGCATCTTTCCCCAGTGATTCTGTTTCAGTAAATCTAGGACAGGGTTTGGGAACCTGTAGTAGGTTTCCCAGTGATTCTAATGTAAATAATATTGTCAGGCATCTGCAAGTTCAAAGCAATGGTTTTGAAAGTCAAGGACTTTAGTTGGATGACTACAGACTGCTACATGGAAATGGAGAGAGAAAAGGTGAGATCTATCTGTAACTAGCTCACGATCAGCTCAGAAGGTCAGATACCAAGACAGCGAAACTTGTGAAATAATAACCTCTTTATAAGCAGCATTTTAAAAGTTCAAAGACAGACACAATTACTTTTGTCAGAGTTTAGTGAAGAAAATAATTTTTTCAGGAAAATAATTCTTAAGAGGTGACTATGCTATAAGTCAGTTACTAATATTTACATTCTTTTTCTGTTCTGTAAGTACCCTGTTTATACTGCTTTTTCAGATGCATATGCAACTCTGTTGGTTTTGAGTTTTGATCAATACATAAGTATTCATTGTTATTATCTGTATGTGTATTTCAAAGGGCATACAAAGTCCTACAAATAATCATTGTACTTAGCTTACTTAGAACTATGACCTCCCCTGCTTTATGTATTTTATCTACTCAGCATTTGCTGTGGGTTCACTCTTAGGCTAGCATTGTATGCTAAGCTATCTATTAAAAGCCCAGAACCATGTTATTTTTACTTTTTTGGCTTAATGCAGTTAATTTGTACCCTAATTGGAGTCTCCTAGTGCAATTGATCCATGAGACATAGTCTCATGTTGCAGCATTTTGTCAGTAAATATTATACTTCAAGATAGCCATATATGATACAGAAAACTATTTTATCTATAATTGCTTCAATAATTAGCTGAGTCAGATTTACTTGAGATAGTTTACATCACCAACCCAACATCTTTAGAAACTTGAAAGATTTTTTTTTTTTTTGCTGGGTAGAAACTTAAAATATTTAAGGCCCAATACAATGAAGAAGGTCAAATGTTTTCCTCCAAAATATCAGCCTGTTGAGCTTACACTGTTATGTTGAATTCTTTAGATCTATCTAATCAGAATCAACCTAATTTTCCCGGATCAGAATCAACCTTATTTTCTCAAATGCCAAAAGAATTTCCGATTACAATTCTAATATTAAAATACAATTGCAAATAAAGAATATTTATGGTTGGTACTTTTTAATACATATGCATATAGACATAGTGTTTAAATATTCTATTACTCTATCAATTTTTTTCAAGTAAATATTGCCCTACTTTAAGCTATTTGACAAAATGAATTATTCTATTAAATAATTAAGGCTTACCCAGTGGGAAAGATTTCTGTCCCAGAAATGTCAAAGTTGCTAATTAGTTTCTCTGATCTGTAGTCTATATTTAGTGAGGATATGCCCCCCATCAAATTAAGGAGTAGCACAGAGCAGGCAGGGACAAAGAAGAAAGCAACTCAAGCTTGTATATCAACTTCCAAGTGACTTCTTAGTGCTGTCCCACGTCAGAGACCCATGACATTAGCCACATCAGGAAAGGGAGAAGAATGCAACAGACAAGATCATTCTTTTCAATCTACAAATTATTGGAGAAATAAAAATTACGCATAATGTACTCCACATGTTTAACAGTAGTATTATCTACAGGCAAGCATTCTTCTATGCAATGGTAATGTCAACCCAAGACTGGAATATTGGACATTAAATGAGATGGAAGGAAGGGGAGAAAGACACAAGAGTACAAAAGAGCCCTGAGTGACTTGGCCAATAAACAACTAAAATCAATAGAGTCAATTCCAAATTCATTACATTTTATGTAGCCTTCATAATATAAAAGGAAACATATATGAACAACTCATGATAGAATCCTCTGTTGAGCTGTTTCTCAAAATATCTCTATTATGATATCATTTGTTATGGGTATTTACATCTACTGCCACGTCACCAATTCCAAAGTGAAGTTAGCTGATCTGTAGAGGGACTTAATGAAAAAACCATGGCTTAGAGCTATCCAACCATTGCTACAAAGGTAAAGAAGACCAGGATCAGTATCTGGAATCTGATAGGTGGGAATTTGAGAATTAATATAGAAAATCTCCAGTCAAGGATGTTAATGTTTACAAAAGGGAACTTCAGTAGGTGAATTAAGATAGTAAAGAAGAGGATAAAAGTAGCAGCTTGTGCTTTTTAAATATGTTTGTAAATTTTATAAATAACATCAATGCCTACAGTAAGATTCAAATGAGTTTATCCCTGTAATTATACAGGATCTCAAAAGGAAGAATTTTCTAAATTAATTTTAATAAACTAACATTTCCAAGGCACAAACTGTGTGCATGGTGCTATTCTAAATGTAATCAAAAATTTGAAATAGTAAAAGCACATGAAAGACATGACCTTAGCCTTTTGAGTATTTGAAAATTATTGAATGATACAAGGTTGATTATTTATGAAAGAGGCAAATAAATAGAATCCCATGCTCTAATTGCAATCGTGATGCTTACTATAGGTGCAAGATGGAAAACTTCCAATTCACTTTTTAAGCAAGGAAAGATCAATTTTCTTCATAAATCATTAGTAGTATAAATAAGAGTATCTTCATCATCACTTACACTTCTAAAGGTACAACAGTTCTTAAAGATGAAACAGAAGACTAAATTTTAAAAAAATCAGAACCAGAAAATCAAAGGTCTTTAAGGGGGTTAGAGTAAAAAATTAATTCATTTCTTAATTTCTGGATTTAAGAAAAACAATTCAAATATCTTGAATAAAAAGTCAGAAAAGTAACTCAGTTTCATGGGTAAGTGCAAATAAAGAAAACCACAACCACAACCACCCAACACCAATCAAAGGTGGTGCTACTTGTGGGCCCTTTCTGAAGATCGGTAGAAACTGCACTTTTTAATTTGTTTTCATGCTTGTCCAGGATCTTTGAAAGAAGGAGCAAGGGGGAGGCAGAGACCAAGAGAGTCTGTATAAGAGAAGATCCCTTGAGATCTCTAAAGTTCGTACCAACATATCACAGATAAGGAAACTTACCAGCTTTGACGTCTGATCGTCAGTGATGGACCTGGAAACAACTTCAGTTTATTTGGATTATTACTACGCTGCCAGCCCAAACTCTCATATCAAAGAGACCAGCTCCCAAGTTCCTTACACATCTGTGTTCCTTTCCATCTTTTACACAGCTGTGTTCCTGACTGGAGTGTTGGGCAACCTAATCCTCATTGGTGCACTGCATTTCAAACGTGGCAGCCGAAGACTAATTGACATCTTTATCATCAACTTGGCTGTCTCTGACTTCATTTTTCTTGTCACATTGCCTCTCTGGGTGGATAAAGAAGCATCTCTAGGACTGTGGAGAACCGGCTCTTTTCTGTGCAAAAGCAGCTCTTACATGATCTCAGTCAACATGCACTGTAGTGTCTTCTTGCTTACTTGCATGAGTGTTGACCGCTACCTGGCTATCATGTATCCAGCTGTATCCAGGAAATTCAGAAGGAGAGACTGTGCATATGGAGTCTGTGCCAGCGTCTGGTTTATCTCCTGCCTTCTAGGATTGCCTACTCTTCTGTCCAGGGAGCTGACCCTGATTGAGGATAAGCCGTACTGTGCAGAGAAGAGAGCCACTTCAATGAAATTGACATGGGCTCTGGTCACCTTAATTTTCACCTTCTTTGTCCCCTTGCTGAGCATTGTGACCTGCTACTGCTGCATCACAAGGAAACTGTGTGCTCACTACCAGCAGTCAGGAAAGCACAACAAAAAGCTGAGGAAATCCATAAAGATCATCTTCATTGTTGTGGCAGCCTTTGTCTTCTCCTGGCTGCCCTTTAATACTTTCAAGCTCCTAGCCATTGTTTCTGGATTGCAAAATGGACTCCGTTTTTCATCAGCTGCTCTTCAGCTCGGGATGAAGGTGAGTGGACCCTTGGCATTTGCCAACAGCTGCGTTAACCCTCTGATTTACTATATCTTTGACAGCTACATCCGCCGGGCCATTATGCACAGCTTGTGCCCTTGCCTGAAGAGCTCCGACTTCGGGAGCAACACTGAGACATCAGACAGTCACCTCTCCAAGGCTCTTTCCAACTTCATCCATGCAGATGATTTTGTAAGACGAAGAAAGAGGTCTGTGTCACTCTAAAAGGAGCTATGACATTTCAAACTCTGTTGGTGCTCTTACAGAATTAATTTTTGTCAGCAATAAAGAAAGAAAAAAGTGTTAATAAGCTTCATACTGCTTCATAAATCCAAGAAAGAGTTAATTGTTAAAAGGAGCACTGAAAAGTCCGTGTTGTGATATAATTAGGCCAAGTGCATTTTCAGCCCAGTGGCCTTACTTGACCCTTGACAACAAGTCAACTGAGCAAAATACAAGTTCTATCTGTCTTTTACATCCTAGATAAAGGCTCCTGTTGCTTGCTTCATGCCATCAATGCACCGTCAGGCCCTTCCTCTCAAGAACAGTGATACCTTCCTCCATACCACCTCTCACATTTGCCTCAAAATTGCATTACTTTTAACCACTTTGGTCTGGAGAGATGCAGTGATAATGTAGGTCTCAAGTCTAGTCTGAATCTTTAAAGTTCTTAACACCTTCCAGGACTGTCTTTCATCAGATGCCCATCACAATAATTTGCGACTGGCAAAAAGGACCATGAGGGTAAAATCATTTTGTAGTGAGTTTGTGATTTGGGACCTACTGTATGATCTGGTCTTTTAGAGTATTTTAACAAGTAAGCATATAGCAAAGTTTGACCTTTATTTGCTTATAAGATATATTTGTAGAGATGTTGTATTCCATTATGATCCTCTAATAACTACTTTTAATGGGGTTTTACTATGTTCTTTGTTTTCATAGTCTTCATAAGTTAAGATTTTACTTTGTTTAATTATATGTTTTTAATTACCCCATTATCTGGCTATCAAATGAAAAGGTTAGTACTAATGTAATTGAAGCTTGACAAATGCTTAGGTCAACCCTCCTGGAGATAATTATTTGGTATTTTAATTAACATGTTTTGCTGGTATTCCCCATAGCATTATCTGCTTGTATAATTTCAAGTTGAGAGTTAGTAACATAGGGAGACAGGATGGTCTATATTCAGCTAATGTGAAAAGTCTGTAATAAAAATGTTACATAAAATATGGACATTTTTCTAAACCCATAGGTCTTCTTGAATTACCTAATATAATTAAATATTCATTGAGTCAATTTATGCCTATATTCAATTTGTACCTATATTTTTTTAAAGACTGTAATGTGAAAAACATGTTATTAGTGGCACCCACAGAAGACTTGCAGCAGTAAATTTACTATTGTAAACTATTTTGAATCAAAAAAGTGCACTATATTTTCATCTCCACTGTTAACCCAAATGAATAACTTTATTTGTAAATATTAGATTTTGAAATAAGAAAAAAATTAGAAACACTTCAGAGACTAGATGATTTAATTTCAACCCATGGATTTTTCAAATCAAGAAAAATCTCAAATATTGGACACCTTATATTGCAACACTTAGAAGGTGAAACCATTCTTGGTTATCTAAATTAGTTCATTTGTTAATTTTTCTTCAACTTTTATTAAATAAACTATTTCCTTATATAAATACTATTTTATACATATTAATTTTTAATACCATGTGAATGTTAATACCAATATTCTAACAGTCTTTAATAAGTTGCAATGGTTATGGGAAAAAACTGTGTAAGTCATAACAAATAAAGATTCTAGGAAAACAAAGTCAAATTTCAAAATAATTAAGTAGACCTCCAAATTTAAATCAAAACAAAACACAAGAGGCAAAAGACATACATTTTTTAAAAACAAATCAGCAAAATCACTATTCTAATCCTGAAAGTTAGTGCCTTTGAGAAGTATTACTTTTTAAAAAATAGTTGAATAAATCAGCCAAGGTATGTGTTAGAAAATGAAAAATTCTGGCTTTTTGTTTTAGTTTCACCTTTAATGTTCAGGCTTTAAGAAAGTTACTTTATTCTTTCATATCTAAATGTAATTGGTAATATCTATGTCTATGGAATTATCAAGGATGTTACAAGGCTAAGAAAATAGAAGATTTTTCTTTAACTATCAAGTAAAAATTTGCTATTAAAATGTGATTGGATTGCTATTTTTCATTTCTCAGTGCTGCTTAAAAATTCACAACCTGGAATACCAAATGATAACTTAATCATCCTCATGTAACAAATATTGAGAAGCTGCCTTACTTCAATTTCATGCCTTTCACTTTTGCCAGGAATATTCAAGATCACACCAAATTGAAACTATATTGTTGGACTTTTTAATAATTAAATAAGAATAATAATTGTAAACACAGAGAAAATCTTGGTATATTTCATATTTACAATGTGCCCATTACAGAAGGAAAAATAGACACAATTTTATAGATAATATAATAGAAAAAAGTTCAAAACTCAAATAAATTGATATGTTACTGTACCAAATATAAATTCCTGTTATGAAGTGTTTATGTAAAATTTGTAGTTATGTACATTGGGCATATTTGTAAAACCGTATTTCAACATGTTAATTTGAATAACTTCAATCATACACATATAGATAGATGTAGAAATATAAACATGCAGTACTTACATGATCATGCTTTACAGGTTACATCCGAAGTTAGAAAAACAAATTAAAATTTAATAATCCAGAGTAAATGTGTAAGAAAATCACTACAGTGTAACATTACTTGTCATTTGCTTAGGCAGTCTGAAGCTACCACTGCACTTTAATGACAAATAGAAAAGGATAGTAATCTCCAAAAATTTCTGTAGTAGTTTTTGTTGGATTTACTCCAGAAAAATGCGCCAGTAAGTCCTGGATAAAACATCTTCTGATAATTTGTAATTAATTTAAAAATAAATATTGTCAAGATATATATATGTGGTCGCAAACGCACACTTATTCCCCCTGGGCCAAATTGAAAGAGTAATACTAACCTGATGTCCCTTGAGAGTCACTTTACCTGTCCACTCCAAGAAGTCAAAGTCTCTTCTGTGGGGAACAAAAGTTGTAACAGTGGTTTTAAAGGGAAGCTATGTGTGTAACAGAGTGATCTATTTCTAGGGGTGACAAGCTAATTTTTAAATAGGTATATAAATGTACAGGATGATGGTAAACTGAGTGGAAGAACTCTTCCTCTGTGATTCATCTTAACTCCTCAAATCACTCTCTTTTCTCTTCAGCCAGCTCAGAAGTGAAAAATGAGTCGCTGTGAGTGCATGCCCCAGAAAAGAGTACACCTCCATTTCCCCACAGAGCTCATTCACAAAAGTAAAGTAGTACCAAGAAAAATTACAAATTCACTTCTAAGACCAGGTAATTACTATAGCTTTCAAGGAAGATGATATATCCAGTTTCATTATAGAAAGAGGCATTATTAGGAGGAAAAAAACAGTAAGGTGGTAATTCTACCAAAATATACACAGTTACTGCTACTGCATGTTCCCTTTTGGCTTCCACAAAAGTTGATGTAGCATGGATTTTCCCCTGCAAATACCTGTTACTGTTTTATTATTTTAAGTTCTTTTCTTATGTCAACATTCTTTGTTTACAGCATTTCCAGGAATAAGCAATTTTGATTAAAATTTACACATTAGTATGCAGGAGAAAAAGAACAGTATTAGTGGCCTTTGTTACTAATATTCAGACTAAAGTATTTCATCTTAGTATGGTTATTTTATATCCATCTGCTTGATACAAAATATAAACAAAGAGAATATAAAACACAGGAAATATAATAAATAGAAAACAAAATAAAATGTCACACATTAAATATATCAGCATCTACAAAAACCCACATAAACTGATTAAAGTGGTAAACAGTTTGCTCCACAAATAGTTTTATCTATTAATAATCCATCATCTATCTGGTACTATATTAGACTCTAAGATTTAAAGAGGTAGAAGTAGAACTTATTTCTTTACAGTATGTACAATCCACAAAGTTACTTTTTAAGCAAAGAATGAAGTACTGACATTCAGGTAAAAGCAGATATATAAAAAGTCCCTAGAGAAGTCATTTCATGTAACTGACATTCCAGTATGATTATTTCTAAATGCTGTTATACTTCTGCAAAGAAATGTTCATACTGGCATCCCCAAATAAAAATCCTCTCGATGCCCTTAAAGATTCTTTGGATTTACATTATTGTGAACACAATGACACATTTTGAACAGATTTAAATTTATTTTCAAATGACAAACTAAAATGGTGTGCAAAGCAAAGTGTATAAATCTACTAGACCTTTGCCCAAACACAGTGATTTGATAAAATGCCCTCTCATTTAACCTCAGCTAAGAGCAAAAACAAAACTGACAACTCAGGTAGAGAACGAGTAAATGAGAAATGAAACTTGCCCTGTAGTTTCATTTTTAAAGAAAAATATAAATTTTGAAAACTTGAAGGTGGGTGGAAATGTCCACTTTATTTATAATGGAAAAGGCATTCATGTAAGGAAGACTTGACCCATGTACATTAATAAAAAGAGTTTAAAGTCTGGAAAATTAATAAAGAATTGAAGGTTAATGCAGAACTGTCTATACAATCCCTAGGATTTGAAATCACAATGTTTTCATTTCTGTCATTCAAACAGAAAAAATACTGTCAATAAATGTGAAAATACCCATAAGGTAATAATCAAAGATAGCCAAGTTAAAATTAAAAAATATCTTTTGATTAAGTTTTCTAAAGGAAATTTAGAAATATATATTGAAAGCAATTCCAATTTATAATGTTTTACCCTGAATAATAATTATGGCCATGTGAGAAGATATTTGTATGTACAATTTTTGCAGAATTATTTGTAAAAATAGAAAAGTGAAAATAACTAAGTGTTCAGAATTGACAGAATAAATTAAGATTTGTGTACATCCTTGAAATGGAATATTATACCACCTTTAAAAATACAATAGTATACAGAAATGGAAAGATAATCATAATTATATAAATAAAATTAAAAGAAAAAGTAGACTACAAAACACTATCCAAGGAATGATCACATTATGACTATTTCATGGGTATAAGAAGGCAAATATACTAAAACCCTACATAGAAGACATTTTTTCTTTAGTAGATAGTTAAGTATCAGCTAATTTCCATTTTATTGTATTATCACTTATATTTTCCAAAAATAATATGTATTATAAACTAAAATTTAGTTCAGCAAGTCCCAAAGGACACAGGTCTCAGTGTATGAACCTGGGTCCCAAAGCCCTCTTATTTGTAAGGGTTAACACTTTAGTTACATGAAAAATGAAGCAATAAAAGTAGTAGCTAAAGCAAATTGATTATGAAACATAAATTCTGAATTATAGGTCCCCCTGACCTTTATGTTGCTGTGCTTTGGGGCTGCAGGTATAACACCCACATTAGCTTTGAGATGTCCCATAGTAATCTTTGAATTCTTTCTAAGAAGGTCCTCTGTCACCTTTATAAGCACTTGACTCCTTAAGAACAGCAGTTTGAGAACTGCTACCCATTTAAAATTTTAAATGGTGATGAGCATTTCAGCATTCAAGCAGGTCTTATTTTCCCCATGTCTTCCTGCCTTCTGAATATCAAATCATCGGGTGCCATGTGTCTGCAGCTGGACAGAGCTCCCCAACACTGGGATGAAAAGGGGGCCAGGGAACCAACGTGTTCATATTTGGACATCCACATCTTTCTTTGTTATCCATCAGGAACTCATTAATGATGAACTAAACCAAACACAGTAGGGACATCATACCATTGACTAAAATTATGATGAAGAAATCTTATAAACATTAAATATTAAAAGCTTATGTGCCTATTTTTTGCACTGAATTTATTTTGGTTCTGGTATGTTATAGCTACAAGAGATAGGGAGTTTATTCCAGTCACAGTCATTTAGAAACAATCTTACAGCTTTCCTTTAACATTTTAGATCATTCTATTATATTACAATTAAAGAAATGATTGATGCAATATTTTTTTCTCAACTTCAGTTCTTTCTCTGTGTAGCTCTTTTTCTGTGTAGCACTGATATCTTACTTAAAAGACAGACATTTCTGAATGTAAAGTCAATATGACTTGAAACCAAAAATAATGATACCAGTCACTGTCTGATCAAGAGTGCCTTCATCTTTACCAGCTACTATATATAAATCTTTCTAGAAACTACAGGCCTATAACTTACAGGTAATACATGAATCTTGCAACCATGAATTTCTGAGAGGAACTGAGAGCAATATTTTAGCACCAAATGATTGGGAGGCAAACTCACTATAGGCTGTGAAAACCCTACACTGGCTAATAGTCCCTTCTGACATTTCCTGGAAAGAAAAGGGCAAATTTTATAAATTATATTTGAGACTATTTTGTTGAAAGCAGTATGACTATATTTATTATTTAACTTTATCTAGTGCTATAGATAAAAATTCATATTTAAAAAGATAAAATGGTCAGTACTTACTCCTGTGACTCTTTCTTTAGAAGTTTCAAAAGTTTTTGCATATGCTGATACTATAACACAAATTATATACAAAGAAGGAGGGAAAGGCTTAAATAACTATTGACCCATGGCTTTTCTCTGAAGATAGGAGAAAATGCTCACAACAAGCAAGAATTTCTCTCTTGATAGGTCAACATCTTTTCTTGGCTTTGACATCTTTTATGACAAAGTGCAGGCAAATCTACAAATACAGATCTAGAAATGTTGGAAGTACTCTGTCAGACAGACCATTAATCCCAAATATCACAACTATTTTATGCATGTCTCCAGTTAGAGTTATTATATTGTCCATTCTTGCCCATAATTCTGATGCCTACAACATTGCCCATAATTCTTGCCCATAATTCTGATGCCTACAACATCGCCAATTGGAATAATCAACTCTGATTTGAACGGAGTGGGTAAGAGAAGGCAAAGAAAAAGGTGGGAACAGGAAACGCTATCATCACTGTTGCTGTTTTTTCATTAATTTTAGGAAATAGTTCCTACTTTGTGTCTTTTTTTTAAATCCAAGATTTTCAGCTAAGCAAAACCTTGGAGGTTGAGTAAGCTTCTTTCAGTGCCTGCTTTACCAGCAGGCAAGGGAACCATGGGGGTAAAATCCCTACTCTGAAGATATTTGA